GTTAAAAATACTTTAAAATAATTAGCACATTTAATACAATAGGTACTTTAAAATCACGATGATGTAGTTAATCCATTATCATGGCTTCAAATCACCATTTGTTTTTAGCATAAAACTGCCTTTTTCACTAGCCCATAAAATGTTAACATGATACACAAGGCAATAATGTGTCATTTAATTCAATATTCCACTAATTTCTGGTTGCATAGAAATATAAGCAATCAGTACATGATTTCTCCTCTAAAAAACTTTAGCATTTATCTAAATACGTTTTATTGAAATGGGATCATGTAGCACTCATTGCTTTTTAAAAACTGTGTTTCTCTCCCCTTCCTCACTACCGTATAGTCAACAATAAGTTATTGCATACTTTAAAATTACTAAAATCACTAAATTACTGAAAGAGTGGAATTGGAACATTCCAATTCCTAACAAAGAAATGATAAATGTTTCAAGTGACAGATACCCCAATTACCCTGATTTGATGGTGACACATGGTATGCCTGTATCAAAGCATTGCATGTGCCCTATAAATACATACAACTGTTATTTACCTATATTAATTAAAATTAATAATTTTTTAAAAATATGTTTCTCAATATACTTTGATTCACAAATAGCAATTTAAAGAATTAATCTAGGTCTTTGCTCTCTTTTTGAGTTTAGTTTCAATTTTTGCAAGGATGAGTTTGTCAGCGTCCTTGCTGTTCTCTGCTTAGGCACTTCTTATAGCCTCCTTCAGGTGAACTGGACTTCCTTTTGGATATCTTGCCGGACATCAGCTGTCTTAAGAAACGTATATTCAGTACATTCTTTTTCATTAAACATGCACTATTTAAAATCTCATTGCTGCCATAAAGGTTTATTGCAAAATAATATAAAGTTATTTTATGATAAAATAATCACCTTCAAATTTATACTGTAAAATAAATAGCACACATGATCATGGCAAGAGTATTCAGAATATAGCTCAACCTCTCAGCTTCTATTTCTGCACTTACTACTTCAGGAACACACGTTTTTCATATTTTCCACTAATTCTGCCGATTTATGGCCTGGCAGCTTCATGTATCCTTCAAACCACAGTAAAGCCTGTAGCATAATTGACTGTTATACAAAATAGCTGTTGGGGCAACAGCGTTAAATACTTCTCCCACCACCATCCAATATCAAAATGGGTTAGGTGTTCATAGCTGAGAATATTTCATTTTATCTGTGTATGCAACATGCCATCTTTGAAAGTGAAGTGTGAATTACCTGGCATCTGGAAAAGGTTGAGAAATAGATACAAATTATCAGTATTTGTCTTTCAAATTTAACTATGTGTTATAATTACTCTGAGTACTACAAACATAAGTCACATTCTACCAGGTAAGACCAAACACAAAGTAGAGATCTAACAAATAAGCTGTGGCTTATTTTAAAAGAACTATTGACAATGATACTTCGTTAAAAATGAAAAATATGGGCTAAATGCCAAACCAGTTAGGATGCCAGGACAATAGGCATAAACAAGGACTGTCCTGAGCAAACTGGGACGTATGCCAGTTCTAATAATAGTATAATGTGCACTTAGTGCCAGAGTAGTGCAAAAGTGGAAGTGAGTAATTTTGCCTAGGAGTTCATCATTACTAGAAGTATCATTTGACCTGGCCCTGGGAAAATGACGAAGGAGTTATAGATTTTGAATGTGGGCATAAGTGTCCCAGGAATATGGAAGAGAGTACAAAAAAGAAACTGAAATGTGAAAGGATATTGTCCTTTCAGGATAAATGAATAGTGAGGAATGAAGCTGACAGGTAGGTTGAGGACAAATTGTGGAGGCTTTGAATATAATATCAAAGTTTTGAGTTTAGATCTGTGTGGCCATTAAAAAATTTTAAACAGAGAAGTAATGTCCGATTTGTATTTCAGAAAGATCAGTCATGTAGAAATGTGGATAAAAGTTTGGCTAGAAGGATAATGAAGTGAGTGGCTAGTTGACTGTTACAGCGGTGCAGGGAGCAATAATGATGAGAACAAAGCCAAGGGCAATATGCAGTCTTTTAAAGCTGGGGGACTTCAACCTCTGGTGGCTAAAGGATCCATTTCCTTGAGAATTTTCAACAATACAAGCTGTAGGTCTGAGTATTTCGTATTACCCAGCAGGGGCAGATTTTTAACAGAGAGGTCAAAGAGTGAAGAGCATAGAAAATGCTCTGTCAAAATCAACTATTCTGTGGACAAATGACAGCATGATATCCAACGATGTCCTCCCTGTGGAACTAAAGTGGAATGAGACAGGCAGATTACGAATTTAAGCAGGGGAGATAGAAGCTGACTGCTGAGAAGCAAGGACAGCACACAGGACAGCATGAAGTGGCGATGCCAGACTTAAGTAGCTCTGATTAAGCAAAAGTGTCTTGCAGACTATAACCAAGAAGCAAAGCAACAGACTCTACAAAGAATGAAGAGATCATGAAACAAAAGTCATGAGGGTGCTGATAGTGGCTTGATGATGATTATAAAGTTGGTATGTCACCTACATTTCAGTTAAATTCACTTTGCACCAAGTTCAGTGAAATACATTTCATCTGTTACATTCATTTGTGAAAATTGTTATGCTACAATTGCCTGACTCATTTTTTTTATTGGCTTTTTTGACTTTCAATAAGCAACATCTATTTGCTCAAAAGAGGAATGGGAATTGTGGCAGGGGAAGAGGAGAAGGTGGCCCAGATAAAAGTCTGACAATTAAATGACAATACTTCCGGATTGTCTAGGAATGTCCTGGTTTGTGCCTATAGCTGAGCTTAATTTTTTATTAATAATAGTGTCCCCTTTTACTCTCAAAAATATCTTAGGTTTGGACAGTAAATTATATGATTACCCTAAACAAAATCTTTGTTCTATATAGACATTTCAAGTACTCACGATATATTTGGGGAACCAAAGATCACATAATTAAAACCCCTAAGAACAATGAACTGCTAAATCATTTATTCTGATCTTTATGTGGAAACAAAAATACAGCTAGTGAAAGGAGTATGGGCTGGGATAGTCAAATGTTTTACTAAAGGGAATTCTTGGCATTGAGTCTAGAAGAATGAGCAGAATTTAAGTACAAGGGAGCAGAAAAACATTTAAGGTGAAAAAAGTTGGTGATAGAAAGCAGCAGGGTGTGTGTGTGTGTGTGTGTGTGTGTGTGTGTGTCTATGAAATTCAGATTTTCCTGAGTGAAAGAGAAGATAGTCAAATGTTTTACTAAAGGGAATTCTTGGCATTGAGTCTAGAAGAATGAGCAGAATTTAAGTACAAGGGAGCAGAAAAACATTTAAGGTGAAAAAAGTTGGTGATAGAAAGCAGCAGGGTGTGTGTGTGTGTGTGTGTGTGTGTGTGTGTGTGTGTGTCTATGAAATTCAGATTTTCCTGAGTGAAAGAGAAGATGCATTTGAGAATTAATTGGAGATAAATATGCTTAATGTCTGGTCCTTAATTGACTCTCTTACACTGAATGAGTGAGTGAATGAATGAATGAATGAGTAGGATGAAATAGATTTATCTAGCTAAGAGGAATTTAGGTAAGGCACTGAATTGGCAAACTCTGCAAGCCAAATTTGACCCACAGTACTGGCTTATTGTCGAATAGTCCATTTACTTTCTCTTTAATACTACTTGTTTACTTAGAAAATTAAATGACTTTGTATAAAATTCCTTATTTCAAGTTCCTCTTTAATATTTACCTGTCTTCCTACATGGCAAAATGGCTAGAACTGGAAGGGGCAACTGTCCCTTTCAAATGGACATGCATTTGCTCCAGCTTTCCTTCATTCCTTCCCGTTGCTTCACTCATATATATCACCTGCTTTTTGAGAGCGTGACCTTTGATGTGGTGCTTGGGATCATAATCAGAAAGCCAAGCTGATTAAGATATAGAACTTCATTGCAACTAATAATATATAAGTGGAAGCTTTCCATTTCCTCTAGCATTTAACACATGCATCTAGAATAATGACAGCATAATAATAGTAACTGCTAAGCATTTACTGTGTACTAAGCATGATATTAATCTCCTTTTAGACACGTGAGTTTGAGTCACAGCTCCAGACGTCTGCTAGTAGTATGACCTTGAACAAATTAACAGACTTTTTGAATCTCAGTGTATTTATTTGGAAGCCATTATTAGGAGTCATTTAGGTTCACCAATTATATGATCATTTTCTTTTTTCATTTTTTTTTCTTTTTCTCAAAAGATATAATTAAAGTCCAAATTTACAAATACTGACTTTCCAACTTACGCTTCTCTTTTGTACAAGCTTGGGTTAGATAATACAAAACACTTCATTTGTGATAGTGAAGTGTGTCGAACAACTGTGTTCCATGATGAGAAAGTCTGCAACATCAATTGTTTACCTGTATTGACTGACTTGTTTGCCTAAAACATTATATTTTTTGATACTCATTTTAAAAGTTCGTCATGCTTTTTTTCATTATTTTTATAATTTTCAAAGCATTTCAATTTTACATTTATTCATGCAAAATAATAGTTTACTAGGCACCAACTGTGTATTCAATACTAAATGCTGTGCACATCTGATTGTGTTACATCTAATAACCTCTTTATGAGATGAGTATTGTTATTTCTATGTCAATTAGAAAACTCTGCCCTGGGTGATGAAGTAAGGTGCCCAAAGTCAGCAGTTAGTAAGGAGCCAGGACTTTAATTCAGGCACATTTGAATAGTACTGATTTTTACTCTTTTCATAGGTGATCTTGGAAATCTTGATAGGTTTCTATTAATAGAACTTTTAAGACTATATAAATAGAAGATCCATTAGATAATTTTCTCAAAAAAAAATGTGCATTGGCAATAAAAGTAAAAATAGCATTTAAAATTTTTAAGTTTTCATTCATTTTATCCAACCACTAAATTAAAATCCCTTTTACATAACAACATATATTTAGCCACTTAGTGCCATAAAAAGAAAAAAAGAGAAAAAACCAAGGACACTGGTAATTACTTACAATGAATGGCAATTCATTGCTATAGGAAATCTTTAATTTTAAAGTAGTTTGAAATACTTTGTCAAGATATCTGTGAATATAAAATTAAGATCCTTAAAGAAGAAAAATAAAATTAGTAAAAATGTAGGGTTGCATTTTTTGTAATGGCAAGTATTCATTTTCTTATCTAATAAAAACGTCACATTTTAAAACATACAGTTTTATGGTATGTCCAAATTATAAGCTTTTGTGATATAATTATTTTATTAGCTGAATTATTTTAACACATCTTCATTTTAAGAATAATTGAGGCCGGGCGCGGTGGCTCATGCCTGTAATCCTAGCACTCTGGGAGGCCAAGGTGGGCGGATTGTTTGAGCTCAGGAGTTCGAGACCAGCCTG